GCGCGGTGCATGTACGCTGGTACAGAAGATGCATGCTGCTGGGAACCTCGTGCGCCCCCCCAAAAGGGGTGCACGTGCGCGAGCCGCCACGCGCACACGTCAACGCCCCTCAAAGAGCCATCATCCCCTATGCAGGTCCCAGCTGTGACAAGTCCAGAACGATCCACAACCTGATCCTCCAGCGAAAAGTCGGGCACCGTGTCTCTTCTTGTTCGACCCAGCATGCACTGAAGACCGCAAGCTCGTCCCTTCGCCATCACTAGAAAGGTGAGCGGCACCCACAAAGGATGGGGCGCGAGGCGAAACCCAGCGGCCCCACGAGCGGTCCAGGAGGGCACGGCCACGGACGAGGGAAACATCGGGCACCGTGCCTCTTGGCCACGGGGCGGGTGCGTCTTCGGGTCCTCTGCCCAGTCCCCCGCGCCTCAGCCCTCGGTCCCGAGGAGCCGTTTTGAGGGCACCCGGAGCGCCCCAACCCCCAGCTCTCCCAGGGCGTCGCGCGTGCCCCCCAATGGGGGCTTGGCGCGCGGGGGCGCGGGACTCTCTCTCGGGCCCGCGGGGGCTCCAGGAGACGGGCCCGGGGGCCCAACAGGGGCGCGCAGCGAGACCCCGACGAACACTCCAGAGCCCCCCGACCCACCACCCGAGCACGGCGGGGGGGAGGCCGTGAGCGGCCACGAGGGGGGTGTCCAAGAGGGGGGGGTGCAAATCATGACCGGCGGCACGTGCGCGGCCCAGCGGGGGGGCCAGGGACGTAATGAAATAAGAAGAGGCGCCATGAAATCTGGGGAAATATCATGCCCCCCGCCATGATATCCACCCCCCTAGTCATCACCCCCCTCTTTGCCGCCCCCGAAAAGGGCCGAAGGCCACTAGCTTCCGGGAATCCGCGCGCACGCACCGACATCACAAGCAGCCAGGGGCAGCAGCCGTTCTGCCAAGAGGGGAACGAAGAGTGGCAGCAGCACAAAAACTCGGAGGCGCGCGCGGACTTCGCGCATCGGCGCTGGATCCCCACCCCTGGCGCGATCCGCGCGGACCTTCGAGCTTTGGTGTTTATGTCCTTCTTCGTTCCCCCTCGTCAGGTCAACCTGAAGAGGCCCTGGGACACAAATAACTACACACAAATAAAAAAAAACCCAATATCTGCCCCCCCGTTTCCCATATTTTGAGGGGAATCGACGATTCATTGTGTCTGTGTGTTTGCCCCCTCCTGACAACCACCCGGGCCACCCGCGCGCGCGCGTCGAAGACACTCCGCCACCATCGCGCGCCCACTGGTCCTGCCAAACAAGGCTATGCGGGCCGCACGCGCACGCTCCTGCGCGCGACCGTCGCGATTATGGCAGGATGCCTCAATCTCTGCGGGAGCGCAGCTTCCCGTCATCATCATTATCGGCGCTGTCAAGTACATGATCATCCTCATCTAGGACGAGAAGAATCGATTGACACTATGTGCTATTGATACGTTCCGGGGATTCCGGGATTTCTAACAGCCTTCGCGCGGGGTACACTTTGCTTCGAGTATTGTCTACTCTGGCTGGCGCCGCTGGTCGGTCACCCATTCGCAATCGAGCGGTCGCCCGTTGGGGCCTATGTGGCACTTGCTGATCCCCCTTTTCGTTGCCGAGCGCGGGGGGACGGTGGCGCATTGTCCCATCGCCCGTCGCCGCGCACCGCGCGCCTCGGCAGATTCAATTCCCAAATACCTGGTAAGGCAAATCACGCGCGACTCTGGAAAATTCTCCGGGGGTGTTTATATATATATATATATAAGAACCTGTTCGAAAAATGCCCGGCCTACTTTTTGACATATACCAGAATCGACTTTGAAAAATACCCGGGTCGATTTTGAAAATTCCGGAATCCATTTCGAAAAATTCCGGATCTCAGAACTCTTCAGATGTCCTGCGCGGCGGGCGCATTTCACCCCTCGAAAGTGTTTTTTTTTGGGGGGGGGAAATCCCACCAGCCCTTTAGGGCGTCGGTGGTTTAAGGAGTTTCCTCTTCCACCCTTCCTTCTTCCCCTTCGGGGATGGGTTTACCCCTCCCCCTACCCCCTCCCCACTGACCTGGACAGGGGGTTCCGCGGCGCGTTGGAGCGCCCAAAACGGCCTCGGCGAGGAAGCCAAAATCATTGATTTTACTATGGTTTCGGCCCCACTTTGGCCTTCTGAGGGGGGGGCTGAAATTTAGGAGCCCCCCTTCTCTGATCGATTTCCTCCACGATGGCCGCAAGAGGCCCCCAGGATGCCCCAAGAGGCCGCAGGATGGCCCCAAGATGGCCCCACGAGGCCCCCCAAGAGGCCCCCAGGAGGCCCCCAAGAGACCCCCAAGAGGCCCCAAGAGACCCCCCAGAGGCACCCAAGGTGCTCCCAGAGGCCCCAAGATGGCCCCAAGAGGCCCCAAGAGGCCCCAGGAGGCCCCAAAGAGGATTCCGAACGGCCCACAGAGGCCCCCCCGAGGCACCCAAGACGCCGAAAAGCCCCTCAGGACGACCCTCTACTCGCCTGGGCGTCGTTTCTGGACGGGATGGTGGGGATACGCGAAGCGTCTACAATTTCCGGGCTCTTTTTGTTTAAGCAATTCCGGAACCGCTTGCGCCAGAAAAAACGGAAGCGTTTTCTGAAACATTCTACAATCCAGAAATAATTTCCGGGCGGTCCGACGGGCGCCGCGCGCGATTGGGCGCAGCCCGCGCCGCGCGTTGCTCCCGCGAACAGCACTCGAAGGGGCTACCTCGAAAACAGCGCCACGGCAGCTGCGACTCGCGGACTCCCCAAGAGCAACACAGCATGTAACTTGGAATGTCCGAGGGCGCTCCGATGCGCGAAAAATGCACCGCGCACATCTCGCAAATAACCTGCGCGACGCAGTGCACTCGACCATTCGTGGCTGGAGCCCGCGCGGAAGGACAGGAAAACCTGGAAATCTTGAAAACTAGCCATATCAATACTTCATGCTCCTCTGATCATCAGCAGTGGCATCGTCATTATCGCCGCCAGCACCATACTCATCATCATCATCATCAGCAGCAGCAGCATCACCATCACCATCATCATCACCATCATCAACCGCAGCATCAGCATCAACAGCATCATCACCATCAGCATAATCAGCATCATCATCACCAATCATCAACATCATCAACATCATCATAATTAGCATCATACGCATCATAAGCATCATCAGCAGCATCAGCATCAGCATCAGCATCACCATCATCAGCATCAGCATCAAACAATCATCACCACCACTGGCATAATCACCGCCTCCGTCACCATCGTCATTGTCGACGTCAGCGCCGTGGTCGAATCATGAAATCGCACCCGCCCACCCCTCCGACTCGCACTGAAGTGCCCGCGCGCCAGCGCGGCCTTTGAGACGCGTTGGGAAGCTCCCGTCGGTAAGCGTCATCGCTGCTGCACCATTTGTGCCAAGCAAGCTGGCCGAACTGCGCGTGAACGGGCGCGCGCCAGCGCAACCGTCGATATGCGCTGGCAAGTTCTAATCGGCGACCGCAATCGCAGCCGAGTGACCTTTGCCGCACAAGTTGCGGTTGGTGGAAGGGATGCATCGGTGAAGTGCACAGCGTGCATGTCACCTCCACTGCTCACACTGCACAACTCACGCCACATCTAGGCGGCATAGGTTACACCGCATGGCTTCCACCTCAACGGTGCAATGACTCGCTGTTCGGGCTCCACGCTGGCCAAGACTGTCTTGACACCGAGAAGCGGGAGAGCGATGGAGAAGGGAGCGAGGAACCGGGAGGAGAAGGAGGAGGAGACAAGGAACTCCTTTCCCCCCCCGCCTCGTCCGTCCTCCTCATCCTCAATCCTCCAGTGTCCTCCTGCCTTCTCCTCTTCCTCCAGCGCGAGCGGAAGGGGTGGTGGAAAGGGTGGTCCACTGCCCTTGAACCTGTAGAGAGGTCTGCCCGCGACAACGTCGGGATATGAATCCCGTTGAGTCGTCGGCCCCCTAGGCCGTACTGGCGTGTAGCCCACAAGAGTAGGCGTACGACTCGGTCGGCCTCGCGGTTGTCCGTCGGGTCCCCTCGCTGGACTCGACATCTTGAACACACTGACAATGTATGCGGCGGCATTCATGGGCAAATCCAGTGAGGTGAAATACATGTTGAAACCGTACGAACGCTGAACATGCGACAGAGAGGGCCCTCACATTCACAGCGTGATGCTTCTACAAGCGCTGGTAGCCAACTCTCATGGAATGTATAGACCAGCGGGGGACAGCGGCACGGCACGACGGCCTTTGCTCCATCAAGATCGGTGAAGAGGACCCCATCGGAGATCCTCCTGAGCACGGACATCAAATGCGACCGACAGCGCACTCTCTGGGACAGCCAAGCTGGAGACATCTGGGATGTCAGCTCGACTGCCCCTAGAAAAAAATATACCAGTCAGGTCCGTGGACGTCTTGCCCATCTCCCCTGACGAGTTCAGCCGCATCACGTAGGGAGGAGGAAAGAGGAGGGAAGAGGGAGGAGGACAAATTGGGGAGAAGGGGGGCGAAGAATGTGAAGAGAAGGAAGAAAGAGAGAGAGAGAGAGAGATGGAGGACACGGAAAGAGGGAGCAGGAGGAGCCGTGGCGACGAAGAGAAGGGAACGCCCGCAGACCTCCGAGACGGCAACATCGACGTCGCCGGCGTTTCGTCCGGACCCAAGCGAGTCGTCACCTCGACCTGCCCTTTCCGCTGGTGCTGCCGCCCCCGTGTTGCTTCCGCCGCCATCCGCCGAGGAAGAGACGTCGACCTCGCGACACCCCACGAAAGGGGAAACTGGAAGATACCGATACCGCTGCTCCCCAGGCCTCTCCCAGGGTGCGTTCTGACCGGGAAGTGTCGAGGCGAATCCAGCGGTGGCGACGAGGGCATCCCAGAGGCCCCAAAAAGGAAGACGAGGGAAAGGTAGAGGTATGGGTACCTTGTCCTCCCGATCGAGGGCGATGTCCCTGCTGGACCGCCACCCGCTGGCGGCTCCTTCTGCAGCCACACGGCCAGGTCGGCGGGCAGGACCGCCACCGAGCAGTTCACGAGCGCCATCCACGCCTCGGACCGAGCGCGCACGGGAGGACGCGCAAGGTCACATCGTCCTCCATCTAATCCTTCTCCTCCTCCTCCTCCTCCTCCTCCTCCTCCTCCTCCTTATCATCCTCCTCCTCCTCCTCCTGCTCCTGCTTCTCCTCCTCATCATCAGCATCAGCATCAGCATCAGCATCAGCATCAGCATCATCATCATCATCATCATCATCATCATCATCATCATCATCATCATCATCATCATCATCATCATCATCATCGTCATCATCATCGTCATCATCACCATCATCATCATCATCATCAGCATCATCACCATCATCACCACCATCACCATCAGCATCATCATCATTATCATCATGTTCCTCTCCCTCATGCTACTCGCTACTCATTCGCTTCATCCTCCTCGTCTCCCTTACCCTCGCCCTCCACAATGTGACCGCGGGCTCTTCCAACACCTCGTGACGATGCGACGTCCCCGTCACACTCGACCCCCACCTGCTGATAATCCCCTAGGGGAACCAATATATACCCATACCGCTACTCCTTGAACCTCTCTTGGGGTGCGTTCTGACCAGGATTTCGACGCGAATCGAGCCGTCGCGACGAGGGCTTCCCAGAAGCCCCAAAAAGGCGAAAATGAGGGAAGGGTAACCGTATCGGTATCTTTGTCTCTTCTGATCCTCATGCTCCCATCACCCTCCCAGGCCTTCCCCGAGCGTCGACCTTTACTCACGCGACTGCACGCTCACCGGACCAGCCAACGGAGGCGCCAGGGTGGGCCAGGGACCTGAGCCCCGACGACGACCTTCAGTAACGACGACGACGACGACGACGACGACGACAACGACAACGACGACGACGTCAACGACGACGACTACGACGGGGGCGATGCAAAGGTAAATCACGACCAAGTCTGATCTTTGCGCGGCGACCAGACGTCAAGGGCCGCCTCCTCCTCCTCCTCCTCCATCTGGACTCCTGGAAACTTTGCCGTGTCCAAACGTGATGTCCCCGATGATGTTGGAAACACTTGTGACGTTGGTCAGACCATCATTGACCACGCAGCCTGCTACAGCTCCCTGGCACCGTGTGTGGCAGTTCGCTCTGTGGCGGACTCCCCGTCTAAGACACGTGCCTGCACGCACGCCACTCCTTCGGGGGCGGTGCTCAGCCGGGAGGTTCGTCGCAGGCTGCGCGCCGCGGGTCTCCCCGATGCCTCGGGGCCCGGCCAGGTCTGGCCGCAGTGCCTGGATGTGGCGCGCGCTCGTGGCTGCGACTGGCACCCCCCCCTCGAGCTCAAGCAGGAAGCCGCCCTCTGCCACACCCTCGGCCATGGCTCGGAGGAGCCCTCGGAGGACCGTGCGTGGTCCAGGGCTCCCAGCTTCGCGGCACTCCCGACACTGAACTCGGGAGCGCTCTGCTGTCGTCCTTTTGCTTGCCAAGTGATACGTGGACCATGTCGGCACGGCGCCCCTGTGCCTCACTTCCTCCTCCTCCTCCTCCTCCTCCTCCTCCTCCTGCTCCTCCTCCTCCACCTCCTCTTCCTCCTCCTCCTCCTCCTCCCCTCCTCCGCCTCCTCCGCCTCCTCCCCCTCCTCCACTTCCTCCTCAACGCCTCGAATGTGGTCAGCACCCCGAAGCAGCCGCGATCGGCGATCGCTTCTCTCCCAGGGCGCCGCAGCTGCGGCGATCCCGCCGCCCTCGGCCGTCGACTCCTGTGGAGCTGCAGGCGGAACGGGACGAACTCCGACGCCGCGTTGCTGCGGGGCGTGGGCGCCCCCACCCGCGCCGCCATTGTTCGGCCCGCGCGGCGGCGCACTGCTCGGCTCAGAGCCTCGCTGCCAGGGTGTGAATCTCGGGCGGGCCGGCGATCAGTGTGCCTCCAGGCTCGGCCACAACGTCTGCCCTTTGTGAGGCGCCCTCGGACGACACAATGAACGGCAAATCTCCATTCTCTGCCGCGGCTTCAACCGTCGGGCGCCCAGCCTTGCAAGCGTTAGAGGCCTCCTAAATGGGGGTCGAGTAGATGTGGTCGGACGATCGCCGATGCATCGCCGGTACATCGGCGGTGCCACCGGCGATGCATCGGCGGCGTCAGCGATGCATCAGCGCCATCGGCGTGGAGAAAATCGGCCCGACATCAAGCCGCATCGCCGATGCATCGTCGACGCGGCGCGACCTTCCGACCCCAGCTACTCCGACCCCACCTGGGTGGCCTAGAAAAGCGCGTCCCGCAACGCGGCCCACATCCGCGTGGGGCGGCAACGGTTGCCGCCCCACGCAGTAACCAATGCAAGCTGCAGGGTGCGATGCGTATGCGTTGCTGTCGATTGCAAGGGGTGGGCCCAAACCTAACGCGCTCAGATGCGAGCGTAATCACGCGATGCGGGTGCCGACGCGAGGTCGAGCTCGTCCCACACGAAAAAACACCCGACCCCTGTCGGGCCAGCACCAAAAGTCACTCTGGCGAAAGGTCACTCTTCACGTGTGGTCGACAACCGCGGTGCTCCACGCCGCCGCCGGCCCGAGCCTCCGCGCGGCCCGCCTGAGCCTCCGCCGCGCGGCAGCCGCGCGGCGAGGGCGTTCGGGCGCGCCGCCGCCGCCGGGCAGCGCCACGGTTCTCCGCGGTGCTGGGAGGGGCGGAGACGACGAGGACGGACGAGCAGGAGCCACAACCAGACCTGGGAGGAGGGGGGGACGGAGCGGCCAAGAGCAAGACCGGCAAGACAGGGGAGATCATGCCCCGGGCCTACACCTCGCAGGAGGAGAGAAGGGCGGACGGGCAGGACGAGGACAGGGAGGAGGAGACGGAGGAGGAATTGAGCAGCCGGCGGCGGCGAGAGCGAACCTTCGCACCGGCCGCGCACACGGAGGCCCACCGCGAGGCTGGCGCGCGGCGCGCGCGCGAGCAGCCGCGGCCTCAGGCGCGGCCCACGGCCGCCAATGTCCCTTCGGCCGGGCGAGGGGCGGGGCGACAGGGGACTCTTCTCGTCGTCCTCCTAGTCCAGCTGCTGGTCCTCGTCCTCCTTCTGGAAATAAGGGCTGCTCGTGCGGCGTTTGGCCGAGTGAGACGGTTCGCAATGTGTGAGAGTGAATGTGTGTATGTGCATGTGTGTGAATGTGTGTGAATGAACGTGTGTGAATGTGTGAACGTATGTGTGTGTGTGTGAATGTGTGTTTGAATGTGTTTTTGAATGTGTGTGCATGTGTGTGAATGTGTTTAAATGTGTGTAAAAATGTGTGAGAATGTGAGAATGTGTGTGTGTGTGAATGTGTGTGTGAATCTGGGTGTGCGCGTGTGTGCGTGAGTGTGCTTGTATGTGCGGGTGCGTACGTGCGTGCGTGCGTGTGTGCGCGCGTGCGTGTGTGCGCGTGTGCGTGCGTGTGTGCGTGTGTGCCTGTGTACGTTCGTGCGTGCGTGCGTGCTTGGGCGGGTCGGTGAGTGGGTGCGTGGGTGTGTTGGGTTCGTGTTTGTGTTTGTCGTCGTGTTTGTGTTTGTGTGTGTTTGTTTTTGTTGTTGTGTTTATGCTTGTGTTTGTGTTTGTGGTTGTGGTTGTGTTTGTGTTTGCGCTTGTGTTCGTGTGTGTCTGTCTTTGTGTGTGTGTTTGTGATTGTGTTTGTGTTTGTGGTGTTTGTGTTTGTGGTTGTGTGTGTGTGTTTGTAGTTGTGTTTGTGTTGCTGTTCATGTTGTGTGTTTGGTTTCGTGTGTGTGTGTGTTGTGTGTGTTGTTGGGTTTGTGTTTGTGGTTGTCTGTGGCTGTGTTTGTGATTGTTTGTGTGTGGTTGTGTTTGTGTGTTTGTGTTTGTGGTTGTGTATTCGTTTGTGGTTGTGTTTGTGGTTGCGTGTGTATGTTTGTGTTGGTGTGCTTGTGGTTGTGTCTTTGTGTATGTGGTTGCGTTTGTGGTTGTGTTTGTGGTTGTGTTTGTGTGTGCTCGTGATTGTGTATGTATGTTGTGCTTGTGTATGTGTTCATGTTTGTGTATGTGTTTGTCTTTGTGCTTGTGTGTGTTTCTGTGTGTGTCCATGCTTGTGATTTATGTATTTGTTCGTGTTGTGTGTGCTGTTGTTTAGTTTTGTGGTTGTGGTTGTGGTTGTGGTTGTGTGCGTGTGTGTTTGTGTTTGTGGTTGTGTTTGTGGTGTGGTTGTGTTTGGGTGGTTGTGTTTGTGTTTGTGGTTGTGCCTGTGTTTGTGTTTGTAGTTGTGTGTTTGTTTGTATGCGTGAGTTGTATGCGCCTTTGTGTTTGTTATTATGCTTATGAGTATGCTTGCGCGTGTGGTTGTGTATGTGGTTGTGGTTGTGGTTGTGTGTGTGGTTGTTTGTGTATGTTTGTGCTTGTGTGTGTGCTTGCCTTTGTGTGTTTGTGTTTGTGGTTGTGCTTCTGGTTGTGTTCGTGGTTGTGGGGAGTGTACGTTTGTGTTTGTAGTTGTGTTTGTAGTTGTGGCTGTGATTGTGTTTGTGGTTGTGTTTGTGTTTGTGCTTTGAATGTTGGTTGTGTTGGTGCGTGTGCTTGTGATTGGGTTTGTGTTTGTGTGTGTGCTAGGGCTTGTGCTTGTGTTTGTGTTGGTGACTGTGGCTGTGGTGGTGTTTGTGTTTGCATGTGTGTTTGTGTTTGTGGTTGCATATGTGTTTGTGTGTGTTTGTGTGTGGTTGTGGTTGTTTGTGTTTGTGGTTGTGTATGCTTGTGTGCGCTTGTGCTGATGATTGTGTTTGTCGTTGTCTTTGTGTTTGTGTGTGCTTGTGTTTGTGTTTGTCTGTGTCTTTGTGTTTGTGTTTGGGTTCGTGTTTTTAGTTGTGTGCTTGTCGTTGTGATTGTGGTTGTGGTTGTGTTTGTATGTGTGTTTGTGATTGTATTTCAACTTGTGTTTGTGTTTGTGTGTGCGTGGTTGTGGTTGTGGTTGTGGTTGTGTTTGTGTCTGTATGTGTGTTTGTGTTTCTGTCTGTGTTTGTGTTTGTGTCTGTGTGCAGTTGGGCTTGTGCTTGTGTTTAGTTGAGTTTGTGTTTGTGTTTGT